GTGTCGTTTGAACCATGTGTCCTTTCCTCATTTGATTTTCCGTCTTCCTCTTCTTGGTGTTTATATCTTTTCTTCTCCTCTCATCTCCTCCTTTCTTCCATGTCCAGCAGCTGGAGGACCTGTGTGTGTGTGTGTGTGTGTGTGTGTGTGTGTGTGTGTGATCTCCTCTAACCAGCTGTTTGCTATTCCTCATGCTGACGGCCTGGGAGTCTCCCAGAAGCCAAGCTGAGCCCTTGACCCAGAGTCCCCCATCCTTTCTCAGATCTGTCTTAAACCACACTGCTGAGACAATAGTAATTTGCTCACAATAAATAAATGTGCATAGCGTTCTTTATTGCACAAATATTGAATATGCAGTTTGGACACACCTTTATTTTTGCTATTTTCCACATTTTAAAGTGATAGTAAAGTTCTCAAAACTATAAAATAACCAATGTAAGCTTAAGAATTACGTAAGTATGGGAATTATAGTTTTTTTGTTTCTTCATAGTAGCCACCCTTTGACTAGATTAAAGCTACAGTATGCACATTCTCCATGAGGTGCATCCTGGGATGCATCTTAAACTGTATTGCAGGAGCTACTAAATATTTGGACACAGTAAGATTTAATTTTGTATTATGTTTTGATTTTAAAAATGTACAAAAAAAATCTATCTATTATAAATCATTTAAAAAAATATATAATTTTTTTTAAATAATTTTTTAGATTTTTAGGTCAATTTTAGATTTTTTTTTTAAAGCTGATGCATAAACTAAAAAAAATCCAACCTAGATTCATTAAAAATCAAATCAAGTAAAATCAAACTGGTGATAAATTAATTGTTTGACACCACATGGAAGCATCATCATGTGATCATTTTATTCTTCTTAACCACTTTGAATTTAATTAGTGATTTGAATTTAAATACTGATGAATAAACTCTGAAAACGCAAAAAAAAGAAGAAAAAAAAAGACAGAAATGGCAGTGTTGCTATTTTTAAAACTGTCGGGGGCTTCACATTTTTACATGTCACTTCAAACGCATTCCTCTCTGTCTCCGCCTGCTTTACAGCTTCTGTCCATCTAGTACTGACGGCTGCAGAAGAGGGTCACCCTTCTCCTGAGCTTCTCCAGCGAGATGTCACGTTTCACGTCATGCTGCCTGAATGCTTGTTAGGAGCAAATTGGAAGCCCAGTGGTCCTCCGTAGAATGTGTTGTTTGAACCATGTGTCCTTTCCTCATTTGATTTTCCGTCTTCCTCTTCTTGGTGTTTATATCTTTTCTTCTCCTCTCATCTCCTCCTTTCTTCCATGTCCAGCAGCTGGAGGGGGAATTATAGTTTTTTTGTTTCTTCATAGTAGCCACCCTTTGACTAGATTAAAGCTACAGTATGCACATTCTCCATGAGGTGCATCCTGGGATGCATCTTAAACTGTATTGCAGGAGCTACTAAATATTTGGACACAGTAAGATTTAATTTTGTATTATGTTTTGATTTTAAAAATGTACAAAAAAAATCTATCTATTATAAATCATTTAAAAAAATATATAATTTTTTTAAAATAATTTTTTAGATTTTTAGGTCAATTTTAGATTTTTTTTTTTAAAGCTGATGCATAAACTAAAAAAAATCCAACCTAGATTCATTAAAAATCAAATCAAGTAAAATCAAACTGGTGATAAATTAATTGTTTGACAATTTGTTCTTAACCACATGGAAGCATCATCATGTGATCATTTTATTCTTCTTAACCACTTTGAATTTAATTAGTGATTTGAATTTAAATACTGATGAATAAACTCTGAAAACGCAAAAAAAAGAAGAAAAAAAAAGACAGAAATGGCAGTGTTGCTATTTTTAAAAAATTAAAAAATATTTTTTACAATGTTTGCATAAATATATTTAAATGTATCCAAACTTTTGACTGGTAGTGTATATAATGTAACATACAGAATAATTAACATTATCAAAATAATTATGTTAAACATCGATTTGAATGGAAATTTGGTCGATTTGGTTGGTGGTGTTGTGAGATTATGGCTTCTTTGCTGTACAATATACTTACAATAAGTGGCTGTATGTAGAAATGTTGTAAAACAAAAATGTTGTAAAGCTCACAATTGTAGTTCCAACTATAATGAGCCAAATAAAATGTCATGGCCGTATAAAAAGACGTAATGCAAAAGAGCTGCCTGTTGTGTATTGTCGAAGCAAGACCCTTTTGTTTTAGACAGAGAAAGACACTGATGATGGTGATCACACATTCACCGCCACAATGAAGCATAAACCTGACAGGAAGTATAAAGTTCAGAGGTCAGCAGGATTCAAACAGGAGTGAATACAGAGGCAGTGCAGGGGCGGAGTGGGCTTGACCTGCCCTGTGTCCTCCGGCCTCCCTCTACCCTCCCTGTGCTGGCCGTCTACTAATTCAGTTTGTGGGAACCTCCAGCCCTGCTGAAGGCAAATTCCATCTGGTGTTAGCGGGGTCTTATGGGGATTATGGAGCCCAATCCATAGGGATTATCCTGCTCTGAATGGGCCGGTCCCCAAAACTATGACACCATTAGCTGTAAAACTAAACATAACCCTGACTGACAAAACTTTTTCTTTTTTTTTCTTTCTTTTTATTAGATATATTTCCCCTCCTAACACAAGGGGGGGGGGAGGAATAAATTTTAACTGTCACCGTACTCTATATATATATATTGAAATATCCATCACATTAGTCAGCCGCAGTCTCAGCTGCTATGACAGACCATTAACCTGTCATTCATGAATAGACATTGGCTTAAAATAATTTTCAAGTAGAAAGAAAAATTTAGCAAGTCGGGTTTCTACATAGGCACATACCTTAAAGCTACATAGGTGTTTTGCATAATTTAAACAGTAAAACATTTATGAAAAATGAAACAATTCATGAAACACCAAACCTACAAGAAGTAACATATAACAACAAACCAACAAACATTGTACTTAATACATGTAAATATATCACATTAAAAAAAGCCTTCTAAGAACAAGAGTATAAAAAGTCTGAAAACAAAATATTGAAAAATATTCCATTATTAGTAGCCTACCGCACATGACTTTTAAGTGCCACACATCTTAAATCATAGCTCTATAATCATATTTAACCATATAACCACATTTGGATACCAATACCAATTGGTTTTTATATAAAAATATAATAAACACATTTGTATTTTAATTTTCATTAAGTAACCCACCAAATCACCAACGCTGTAAATACTTTTTCAACCAGCAGAGGGCGGTATTTCACCATCAGAGAGGAGACAAACAACAAGAAACGTCTCAAACAGACAAACATGTCCGAATAATCATAAAAATCATACATCTCAAAATCTTTCCAGGATGCCACATTCATACTCATTCGAGTTGGTCAGAGAAGCTGAAGTGAAGACATTTACAATGTAATGTGAGAGACTTCTATTTCAAGCAAAATGCAGTTTATTTGAACTATATATTCAAAGAATGCTGAAAAAAATGCATTATGGTTTCCACAAAAATATTTAGCAGCACAACTATTTTCAAGATTAATAAAGATAAGAAATGTATTTTGCGCAACAAATCAGCATATTAGAATGATTTCTGAAGGATCATGGGACACTGAAAACTGGAGTAATGACCACTGAAAATTCAACATTGACATCATAGGAATAAGTGACATTTTAAAACTATTTATATTTTAAATCGACTATTTTTTTTGTATCAAATATGCACAGTCTTAAAAACTCGTACTGACCCCTTTTTTTCAGAAGCATTAATCATTTTCCAAGTCTTGGTCTTTCAAGTTTGGTCATCCATCAAAATACCTCAACTGCTTGTTCAACAATAGTGCTTTATGAATACAGCATTTTTGTAGAAAGCCAAACATTCTTTGATTTTCAGTTTGGTCAAAGTCTGTGTCTCCTGTGAAGCTAAACAGCTGAATTCATCAAAACATCTGTTCATAAGTGCTACATATGTCTGATTGTCTTCAATAGCTTCCCTCAAAGAATAAATGATCAGAAAATGATAAAATACTATACAAATGACAGTCTAGGGAGACCCACACAGTTTCCCGATCACCCTGATTACACATCAGTACTCCTAATCATTAATAAATGCTATACTAAGAAAAAAACCTTGATGATTTCAATTATTATAATAAAAAAAAAAACACAAAATGTTGAAAAATCCTCAGCTCAACTGAAAATACTGCTAACAGGAAGTCACAGCGTTGAGTAAATCACCCAAATAAATCATACACTATACAATATTTGGCCTTTGACTTCATTTTACAGAGTAAACAAGCTAGCATGTGAAGAGCTGCAAATTAGATAGCTATATTGTACTACTTTATAAACGTTGCTGCATATTTGCTGCATTTGCTGAAGGCTATTTACAGTTAGTGCACACTGTATATATTGCTTTGGGACATGCTTTTGACAGGCCAATAGATTTGCAACATCTCATGAGAGACATTTAAAGAGAGATTTATCAAAGTACTGTGACAGCACTGTTCATATAAGAGGGAAGCCACTGATGAATGATTCTAATATCTAACTGATAAAAACAGGCTGGTTCTTCATTCATCTTAGACGTCATGCTTAGCCACAGGACATTTGTGCCTTACTTTGTCCATTTTCAGTCTTTCCTTCACCCCAATTTCTGCTTCCTCCTCCTCATCCTGTACTCTGCTGGTGCTCTTTTCTGGCCCAGCCATTATGGGTTTGTATGACCACAGCCACTGATCATCCCAACCTCTCATAGGTATGAATGAAGTTCCACCAAGTGTTTTTGCTCTATTTCTTCATGATTGCCAGCTGATCAGTCACAAGTATCCTCCTAAAGACAGGTTTGGATGAGGTCTGCTGTCGTTCTGATGCTGGTCGGGATGCTGTGCCAGATGTGTCGTGTTACTCTCCATCGCATACTTTGTGTGGCTTCCATTCTGAAACTGATCAGACAGATGATTTTTGTATTATTAGAACAATTTGTAAGGTCAATTTGTTAGATCAATTCTAAAATTCATTAGAATCATCTTAATTATTAAATCCCAAGATTTTTCCAGCACTGATTTTCCAGCCTCACAGCAGAAGACTTGAACTGAATGGGCTGTAAACAATAACATACTGTACAGTGAACTAGTGAACTGGTTCTTTTAATTAACCAAATTCATACAGTGCAACCAGTGTAGTACAAATAATGAACAAATTACTCTTTTCAGCTGGTCCTTATAATGAATCTACACATACATTTATATTTGTATATAAATTGTTAGTTTTACAAAAGTAAAGCTATTTAAATTGTGTTTTAAACTGATATATTGACTCTTATATTTGTTAATAAGCAGCAATTTTATAATTTGGGTCTTACTACCTTACAATTTAAAATGAATTTGGTCATAATGTACCATGTTAGACGGTTTCCTATTTATTTAACCACATTAGTTGAGAGAACATTTCTTACATATAAGCAAAACGTTCACTGTAACTTCAATATATCCAAATGGATACGAATTGAATCAAGACCTTGTGAATTGGAATCTGGAAATTTTACATTTACATTTACATTTAGTCATTTTGCAGACGCTTTTATCCAAAGCGACTTACAATTGGGGAAATGTGTACCGATAACCAGCCCTAATCATTTTGATGACTGTCCATATACAACAAGGTTTTATTACAAATACTGATTTTATCACACATCAAATGTATAAACATCAAAGTACTATAAGATCCAGCTAGTAACAATGCTCTTCCAAAAGAGGATTTCTGCAGTGAGGCCATAGGATAATCATTTTGGGTTCCTCAAAGACTCATTCAGTGATCAGCCCTTAAAAGAATCATTTTTCTTTTGTGTCAAGAACATTTTCAAAAATGAAAGAACCTTTTCTACTATAAAGAAACTTTTGTGCAATGGAAAGCTTCCATTGATGTTAAAGGTTCTTCATGGAACCACAGGTGACAATGAAGAACCTTTATGTTTAAGAGTGAAGGTAGGTGAGCCTCACATTTGGTTGGTTCTTACCTGGCCTATGTAATCTTGTTGATCCAGACTTGATCCGACACCCACTCCTCTGTTTTGTCCTGAGTGCCCATTCCTCTCCACATCACCATCCAGGCCGCTGAGCAGCACTTCAAGGTCTTGAGCAGTGAACTCGCTCATACCTGTGTCACCTGCAGTGATATAAGGTGAAGAGTGCTGCTGGGAGCAGCTGAAGGACACAGTGCTCAGATGGTTCCTATTAGGGTGCTTCAGATCCTGAAGGGGCGACTCCAGGTAAAAGCATCCAGGCTGTTGGAGCTCTGGCTGGAAGAGAGGAGGAAACTGCTGAGCGTCGCTGACCAGAACTTCAGTGAAGTTCCCACAAACCTGAGCATTTATGAGTGTTTTACACTCCAGCAGATGGAGAGGTGGAAGGTATGAGCACTGAGACTGTTGGCTTATCATCTGAACTTGGTGTTTTTGGGTTGTTATGTGTGAAGGTTCGCATTGTGTGATTCCCGTTTCGTTATATGGTTGAGACATTATGTTTTGGAGATCTGGTATGGCCTGCGGTTCACGCTGAGGTTGTATTGGTGTGAAATGTTGTGTCTTTGGTTCAGGATGTTCTGTTGTAAAAGTCATCTGTTGTTCCTGAGGTACTAATGTGAGAGGATCACATGAATCCTGTAAGATTAATGCAGATGCTCGCTGTGGAGGTGTGAAGGTCTGCATAGGCTTCCCGACGAGATCCTTCAGACTGTCACCAGACATTATACAGTCTGCCTCCGTCCTGAGAGAGTGTTGTACATAGGAGAAGATGCCATCTGTGAGGTCTGCCACATCATTCTGACCACCGAGGTCAATCCTGAGGAACAGTTCATCCTGAAGGAACTTCAGATCTTCTGGTCTGATCCCTAAGCTCCCCATGAAGTTCAGTATCTCACAGCTGTCGTCTCCTCCAGAGTTAACGACTGGCTCTTGTTTGAAAAGAGAGCTTTCAGAGAGTGAAAGAGCACTTTCTTGCCAGTTACTGGAGAAGATCCCACCAAGATCCTCGTTCTCTAAACCCTGTACTGATACAGAGTGCTCATCTGCAGGACACACATAAATCGACTCATCCTGCTTCAGCATGGAGCCCAGCAGGGAGTCAGGGTCTACAGTTCCAGTGGATCTGGCTTGGGTACTGTCATCCAGAGCAGTGGTATCAGAAGGTATGGTGTTACTCTGAGATCTGAGCAGGTGCATGTCATAGAGAACAGCTTCTCCTGTAGTGAAGCTGAAAGGAAGCATCATAGCACGCTTTCTCAGGTTCTCCTCACCCTCCTCGTTCCTACAGAAGACAAAACGACTCATTATAAAGCACGACACCTAAGGAAAATATATTTTTTTGCCTTTGCTGACTATAGATAAAAAAAGACAAGAAGAAAATGACCTACCACAATTCATCATACAAACAGACATAAGTATACAGACCAATCACAATTAATATACAAATATTATGATCACTGAACATTAATTTTAAAATTGCAAAGTGAGGGAAGTAATGAGTGAAATGGATATGAATGTGAATTTGTAGTCATTTGTCAAAAAAAAAGGGGGGGGGGTTTAAGCAGACTATGATTGGAGAAGTTCAGCATAAGTCACCAGAGAATAGTATGTTATTTCACTGAAAAATTGAGTAATGACAATTTAACTAAAGTGAATATTAAATAAAATGTAATTTTTAAACAAACTTCTCTCTGTTAATGTATGCCAGACTTCTATCATTCACTTAAACCCCACCCCTGCATTCTCACATTCTTCTGTCTCCGTTTTTGAGTGTAAGGCACTAAATCCAATTTCAAAATCAAATCACAACCCATGGATAGAACTAAGTCCCGCCCTATTTTTTTTTTCTTTTTTCCATGATCCATTATACTCAAATGTATGTCAGAAGAAAAGGGCTGTCACTACTTCAGTCTCACTGCAAATTTAAAAATTACAAATATTATATGCGTGGATGAATCATTCACAGTAAGATCAATAATATGCATTTAGCAAATAAATAGGGGGAATTTTAATTTAATACTGACTTTAAGTTAGACACAGCACACCCTAATTATTATATTATTAAAAAAAGTACCTGTAATTACATTTTTACTATGAATACTGTCTAATAAGACAACAAAGAAAACATTTACAGGTTATTCAACATGAAAGACAAAAGAAAGACACAAATAAGGGCATACGTGATGACTCTCTGTGAGGCGATGATGCAATCTGGTTGCCCATTTTTGTAGACAAGTCTGGCGTTGGATTGTACCCAAACCCAGATGTTCTGTTTTGTCAACAGTCTGAACACAGTCAACCCACTTTCACCCGTCCTCATCACTACAGGGGAGAGAAATTATTAAACTCATTTGAAAAATCAGCAACTGATTTTGCTACCATTAATAATAATAGCAGTACATGCTTTTGATAGCAGTCTCCTTTTAAAAGATCAAAGGCAGGTAGATGTACATAGTATATGTATATTTGTCACTGGTTCTCATGCCTCAAGCAAGCATATTTGAGTTGCATGTGGGCTGATCAATGTTTATTCATGAATGAAAGCCTAAATTAAATCTATTCATCATATAAAGAGATCATGTCACATTTTTATTATGTCTTTTGTACTTTTAGGAGTGTGAAAATTATAGTTGTGTGGACTTTAATGAATGGATAAATATGTTGAGAGAATACAAAACCAATCTTAGGTCATTTGTGTTTTGAATATCTTAAAAGTTTTGGAACAACATGAGGTTGAATATATGATTTTTCATTTTTGGGTGAATGGTCCCTTTAGGAGCAATACAATTATTTCCACAACAGTAAGACCTCTACTTTATGACACAAGCAATGTTGAAACCCAGTGGTGGGAGCGAGTGAGGTGAGTGTATTTTCTTTTATCCACATTGATTTAAGGGAGTCTTACTCCGTATGTGGTTCTCGGCGCAGTAGAGCATGTCAGCTGCATGGATGAACTGATAGCCTGAGCCACGGTAACACAGCTCTTCCTCCGTGTAGCCAAGAACAATTTTCCCTCTGTGGAGAAACAGAAAACACATGACTTTGAATGTGAGAGATACTGATGGTGAGAAAGCAGAGGAATACTGCACCAAATCACAAGGCAATCATTAAAAACCCAAACATACTAATCCAAGTTCTTTCATGACAACTCTCGGAGGGATTGGCATGGTAATGTACATGACAATGTTAATGTATTTGGTCTTGGCGGAATAGATCTGCTACGCTGCTGTGGCAGAGCAAGTACAGAGACTTGCTACTGCCAATACATCCACAACATGCTGCTGTGAGCATGTAAGAAATATTGCTGCTCCAAATATAACGTACATGAAATAACCCCCATATAGCATACATGAATCACCTTTTAGCAGATCTATACAGGTGGAGCTGGGGAAAGTGGAGGGTTTCTGAAGCAAGCTGCAACTGCTACGGCAAGCACTAGTCATATATTTTTTTTGTGCTACTGTCATTCATCTTTAACTTTTAACTTAACTTCATTTTTAACATTTCACAAATCAAATGAGATAAAATTGCCTCTACGAGTCAACTGAAACAAACTAAAGTGAAAAACAAACAAGGAATAAATCCAGGAGTTTCTTCACACATATTGATAGGAGCTTATACTGTATATCTTACATTGCGTCACACGCGGTGGGCGTGAAATCCAGCTTATGCTTGGTTTTGAAAAAGCAGCTCTTGGTGCGGATCTCCAGTATGGAAGGCGGCTGCAGAGGGCAGGCCAGGGCAAACAGAGCCAGCTGAGGAGGGACGGGTTTCCCATCTGCTGTCCTCTCATTCTGCCCATACAAGAACGTCAAACGCCCCTGAAAGTTCACGGCCTATAAGAATACAAGCCATATATTTAACACATTTGAACCTATGTAAATACATTCCACAGCATTTAGCTAATTTTACCCATAAATATACACAGAAAATGTGATTCCATCTGGGCCTTGTCATGATATGACACCAGGCCTTGCTATCTTTTGATCACTTCCTTTATGAGATAAGCAAGACTGTGACCTCTCTTTGAACCCAATATATAAATAAGATATATGATTTAAGAATAGTTGTTTGAGCTGATTATACTAAAAGACTAAATTATTAAAATGTGTATTATTAAAATTATTAATGATTACAGTGCTAATAAAGTGCTAAGTGACGCTAACAGGGATAGTTCACCCAAAAATGAAAATTGTCATAATTTACTCACCCTCAAGTTGTTCCAAACCATCGACTTTCATACTATGGAAAAAATACTATGGAAGCCAATGGCTACCATCAACTGTTTACTTACCAACATTCTTAAAATATCTTATTTTGTGTTGTTTGAAAAGTCTGATAAAGGTAACTTTTGAGATAGGAAGTCTACATGTAGAAATTATCCAGCAGAGGCAGTTAACTGAGAAACATCTCAACAGGCTGAGTCATAACTCCAAGCTGTGTGGAAGTCATGAACTATAAATTAACTCAACCAAACAAGGACTGATATGATCTTAACATTATAACAGATGCATCATTATAGTCTTACCATCATACAGAATCTTAATATTGGTTCAAACAAAGCTAACAAAAGTATCTTTTGTTGTGTGTGAAATTACTTTGTATGTAGAAGCACAAGATAATTTCAGTAATTTCAGCCCTCATTCTAGATTATTACATTATCATTAGTACTCCTCAAAAAACGTGATGTACAATACACGGTTGTTTACAGCAAAAATACTTAATTACAGGGTTTTTGAGGTGCACACTGTTTTAAAATCCCTCATTATTCATCATTTCTCACACACTTTCTGCAATGAATTCAGCTCAATGAACAGACTCCATTCAAACTTGTTTGTAGACAGTTTCAGCTTTCAGTCTGTTATGGTATGCTGTATAATTTTGACTTCTTAAACTTTATTCATAGGAGAGCTCTGACTAGACTTTGACTTCCTTCAAGCTTTGGTTGGTACTGTAAATAATGTCAGCCTTGCATGTTATCTATTCTTTTCTTTTCTTTATAAATTTGTTTACAGGCATTCAAAATGAAATCTTCTGTTTTTTCATTTTAAAATCTCCCATCACATTGTCAGAGCTTTCAGCACTCAAAATCTACCAGCAATAATGCTACTGTAATAATTATAGATAGAACTTTGATGTAAAAGTTTGCATAAAATGTTTTTTCCTGTCTTGCAAGCACTGGTAATGAATTCAGGTAGTCTATATAAATATGGTTACTTAAAACATTCTGTAAAATAAAATAAAAAAATCTTCTTCATCTGCTGCCTAAGGAAATCAACAAAGTAAAATCTCTTACCATAAAATATTTTTTTTAAAGTGTCAGGAGTGAATATTTAAAGTCTATATTTTAATTTATTTATTCACTTTAATGTATTTATGATAATTTTCAACTTACAAGAAAGCCAGAGGAGTTGTTCAAAAGACATCTTAACCTGCAAACAAAATTTCGCTCCAGAAAGGTGGAGTTCTCTGGTGGCAACTGCTCTGGACTGTAGTATGTCTGAGGCAGCGGTGCATCCTGAGAAGCTTGACAAAAACAAAACAAAACTTGAATATAGAGAAAAGCATAGTTAAATACAAAACTGTTTAAAATTACACAACATAAAAAAAACAGGAAGATAATGCCCCTCTATCGGTGGCAGAATTTCGGCCCCTGCTGTGTAAGCATTTATTTAACTCATTGGCGGTAGTGTCCTTGCTTATGGCTGGATTATTGTTAAGTGTGTGCGCTGTCTGGAACAGCTGTCCTGTGTGTATAGTTCCGACAATAACAGGCCTTTCAAACTGCCAAGTGTTAGATCTCTAATGAAAACTGATCCAGCTTGGTTGAGAATAAAAAGCCCAAACTGAAACCAGAGCAAAGTGGCACAGCCTTTGAACACCAGCCATTAGAGGCTGTTACACATACGAATCTGAATCCTCAGAGCACATATAACTGAAAACCATCTAGTAAGGTATTGGTTAAAAACATGGCCCATGATGAAAAAAAAACAAATAAACACACAAACGTCTAAGAAAAAAAACATTTGGATGTCTTATCGAATTGTCAAATTGAACAAAGACGATATTTCAGATCCATTGTGAAAAGGTCAATAAAAATGTATTATTTTTGTTTTAAAATCAGGTTATGCATGGATTTATTTCCTGAAAATTGTAGAATAGGATGTTTTGTCTCTCACAATGGAACTTTGTCAAACTTTGTTTGCAGACACACGCAATCCATCTTCTTTGACTCTTTGTGTTGATGGAATGGGGACAGAATCTTTCAGCCACAATGCCCAGGTCTGCTCATGGTCTGTCTGGAGAGATATTTAGTTATTTTCTACCTTGCACTAGCTGTCCGGTGTCTGGGGTGCAGCTGGGGTTGAGTGCCCAGTGGAGCTGCCTCTGAAACTCAGCCCGGTCTTCAGTGTGAACGAGCTCATAAACACTCTGATGGATGAGATCTGACTGCAAAACAATCACATTGGCTTCACTCTAAGTAGATTCACAGCTGCTCATTACAGTTACAAAATGTCCCAAACTGAATTAAGAAATCTGAATCTCAATGCTGAAATAAAGACCTGTTTTTTTTCAACCTGTTTTTATCTAAATGTGCTCAAAGCCTGCTTTGTCTGGCGGCACCCAAACATACCAATCCAAGTTCTTTCATGACAACTCTCGGCGGGACTGGCTTGGTAATGTACACGACAATGTTAATGTGTTTGGTCTTGGCGGAATAGATCTGCTAAGCTGCTGCTGCTGTGGCAGAGCAAGTACCAAGACTTGCTACTGCCAATACATCCGCAACATACCACTGTGAGCATGTAAGAAATACTGCTGCTGCACATATAACATATGAAATACCCCCCATAACATACATGAATCACCCCGTAGCAGATCTATACAGGTGGAGCTAGGCAAGGTGGAGGGTTTCTGAAACGTGCTGCAACTGCATCATGTTTCACACTAGAATCATGTTTGTGGTAATAAGCTGGAATTTCACACATAATAAATTCTAAAGCTGCAATGAGGAATCTAAAAGACTGGTTAAGATCTCTTTCCACTGGTTTCATCAACTGAATCATCAAGTAAAATGTGTTAAATCAAGTGCATAATCCTTAATGTAAAGAACCCTAAATGCTTCTGAGAGAGTAGATCCACTAAACGGAGAAGAAATGTGTGCACTGCAGAACAGAACATGGATTGTTTGTTCTTTCTCGAATAGAAGGTGCCAGAAGACCATTTCATAAATGCATAAACCATTTGGGCTGCAGTTCCTTTTACCCGCACAATATATGTGCAAACCAGTACAAACCTGATGGAACCCCAAGTAGTCCTCAATGGTGGAGGAAGCATAGAAAATTGTGCCATTGGAGGTGACCACCAACACAAAGCCATTTATAGCCTATAAAAAAGAAGTTATACTGCTAATAAATAGAATTCTAAATCCATTTTGTTTTGTTTTTGACTTTTCTGTTGTTTGATTCAAACATTAAGGTTTCCCAGGACACATGAGCTCACCTGTAGCAACAATTCTCCCTCTGGCAGCTCCTGAATGTGTGGTTTAGTGTTATTTGCTAGCTGGTTGGAGTTCTTTGAATTCAGGGTCACTGCAACAGCAAACAAGCATTAAAGTGGCTCCGCACAATAGCTAAAACATAATACACATTCTTTATCAAAGACATCATGAGGAAGTTATGGATAACAATTCATAATATGTAATAATATCATATGAGGGTACTTGATCAGGCATAATCAAACAAGAGCACAACTTCCTGTATTAGAAAAAAAATGTCCTGCATCAATAATGGTTGTGAGAGGGAAATCTGAAATAATGTATTACAATAGCAACTTGAAACGTGGAGCTGTTGGCATCTGAACTACCAAAAACTGAAAGCAAATTATAATGCCCACTGGTTAACAATACACTTGTGCTTGGCACACATCACATGATATGTTTGCTCATGGAGTGGTTATGACATGCAAGGGCAATGAGAGGGCAGTATCTGTAAAAACACAGACACTGGTTCAATAACAAATAAGAGTGCCCATAATAATAAAAAATCTAGTTAAGCACATGTGGCAAGTACTTAGAAACATTATTTTTGTATTCATGTTGGTTTCATATGATTCTGAAAAACTTTTTTTTTTCTTGATTATGACTGCAGGACAGTTATTTCACCCTGACATCAAAGATGAGCTGTATTCAATCTGTATTTATTGTATAAATCAAATAAATATATTTTTGAATAGATTAAAAAATAAAATGCATTTAAAAAATATGACCCAGTTATGTGACAAACTAATTAATTGATAAAATATATCAATTGTGAACTTAGATTCTTCAAGCGTATGAACTGTACATTAACTCTTAACGATGGCAAGAACACACAAAAGATTCTGCCAGGAAAACTCATTTATATTGAGAACAGTGAATATATCCACTGCCTGCACTTACTAGATGACAGTAATGGATTAAAATGTAACTAATAGTCATTGTGTCAACAACCCCCTGGATTTGGAAGTATGTGCCAGTAAAACATTAAAGGGGTCATATGATGCGATTTCAATTTTTCCTTTCTCTTTGAAGTGTTACAAGCTCTTGGTGCATAAAGAAGATCTGTAAAGTTGCAAAGACTAAAGTCTCAAATCCAAAGAGATATTCTTTATAAAAGTTAAGAGTCAACCATGCCTACCTAAAACGGCTCGTTCTAACACGCCCCCACGTCTACTTCACAATATAGGACGATTTGCATAACGCCGCCCAAATGTTCACGCAAAGAAAGAAGGCGTAACTTTTATTCTCGCTGTAGTATTGTTGCTGCCGCCGCCATGTCGTGAAGACGCTGTGTGTTTCGTTGTGAAAGCGAAACTACTTTGTTTGGCCTTCCAAAAGAGGACACAACTAGAAATCAGTGCTTAAGTTGTATTTACAACACTGTTCCAGAACAGTTCAACCCAAATATTCAGATGTGTGCAGCACATTTTATGGAGGAGTGTTTCCTGACCCTGGTAGAGTAGACTACAATGTCGGCTGTTCTGACTCACAGACTGTAAGTACGTTTCATATTTAAAGGATTTGCCACTGATGATTCAAACACGAGTTTTGAGCAGTGTAGCGTAGCATTTGCTGTTTGTCATTTCTCCGATCACAAATGCAGACATGGTTTTATGTTTACGCGGCACGATGCAACGCAACACATAAAAAGACTGTATAAGTCATTATAATCCATAATTATGTCCCCACTGGATGCAACGAATGCCTCGTTTATAAT